ACGTTCTGTTTTATATAATATTTTAATTGTTATCTCCATAAAACATTCTCCTCCTCCAACCCCCCACACACACACACATCTCCTACACATCTCCCACACATCCCCACCACAACCCCCCCCACACACAAATCTCCCTACACATCCCCACCACAACCCCCCCACACACACATCTCCTACACATCTCCTACACATCCCCACCACAACCCCCCACACACACATCTCCACACATCTTCCACATCCCCCACCACAACCCCCCCCCACACACACACATCTACACATCTTCCACATCCCCACCACAACACCCCCCACACACACATCTCCTACACATCTTCCACATCCCCACCACAACCCCCCCCACACACACATCTACACATCTTCCACATCCCCACCACAACACCCCCCACACACACATCTCCCACACATCTTCCACATCCCCACCACAACCCCCCCCCACACACACACCACACATCTTCCACATCCCCACCACAACCCCACACACACATCTACACATCTTCCACATCCCCACCACAACCCCCCACACACACATCTACACATCTTCCACATCCCCACCACAACACCCCCCCACACACATTCCCCACACATCTCCCACACATCCCCCACCACAACCCCCCCCACACACACATCTCCTACATCTTCCACATCCCCCACCACAACCCCCCCACACACACATCTACACATCTTCCACATCCCCACCACAACACCCCCACACACACATCTACACATCTTCCACATCCCCCACCACAACCCCCCACACACACATCTACACATCTTCCACATCCCCACCACAACCCCCCACACACACATCTACACATCTTCCACATCCCCACCACAACACCCCCCACACACACATCTCACACATCTCCCACACATCCCCACCACAACCCCCCACACACACATCTCCCACACATCTTCCACACCCCCACCACAACCCCCCCACACACACATTACACATCTTCCACATCCCCACCACAACACCCCCCCACACACACACATCTCCAACATCTTCCACATCCCCCACCACAACCCCCCACACACACATCTCCTACACATCTTCCACATCCCCACCACAACCCCCCCACACACACATCTCCCACACATCTTCCACATCCCCACCACAACACACACACATCTCCACACATCCTCCACATCCCCACCACAACCCCCCCACACACACATCTCCCACACATCTTCCACATCCCCACCACAACCCCCCCACACACACACATCTCCTACACATCTTCCACATCCCCCACCACAACCCCCCCACACACACATCTCCTACACATCCCCATCCCCCACCACACCCCCCACAACCCCCCACACACACACATACAGATTCAATACTAATTTCATGATTGGATGAATTCAGACAGATGTTTTATTTCCAGTTTGGCTGACAACAATAGTGTGTGTGTGTGTGTGTGTGTGTGTGTGTGTGTGTGTGTGTGTGTGTGTGTGTGTGTGTGTGTGTGTGTGTGTTTCTTCCCGCCTCACACCAGTTCATATAAGTAGAGGCATCATGGGGGGAACAGCTTCACTTAATGCCACCAGGACACTGTGTTGATAAGAGGCGATTCTTGTAAGTCTGTCTGTCTGTCTGTCTGTCTGTCTGTCTGTCTGTCTCTCTGTCTGTCTGCCTGTCTCTGTCTCTCCTGAAGTTCATGAGGTTTCTTAAAGACAGACAGACAGACAGACGCACATATATACATAAATAAATAAATACATACATACATACATACATACATACATACATACATACATACATACATACATACCAAAGCTCACAAAAAGTACTTAAAACCTATAAGTTGCCCCGAAATAAATATTCCTTAAATTAAAACAAAATTCCTAAGATTATTACAGAATTACTATAGGTCGAATTCTTATTATTAATATGCCTTTGAAAATTCCTGGAAGCGTTTGGGTGTTGGTATAAAAAAAATTCTGTCAAATTCTTAAGGTCATTTTGACATTGGGTTCATTATGTCATGGTCGTCAGAATTGATTTGTGAATTATGTAGAATGAGTTTTGTTCGGTAAGATGCCTTCTCTCTCTCTCTCTCTCTCTCCTCATCCCCATGACAACATCCCCATGCCTCCTTCCCCTCCTCACTCTTCTCCCTCATCTCTCACCTTCTCGTTTCTTCCTCATCACTTTCCCTCACCTCCTCCCCGTCTCCCATCACCTTCCTCACTTCACTCCCTTCATCTCTTCCCTTTCCTCTCCCTCCTCTCCCCAACCTCCCCTTCCTTTTATCACCCTCCCCCTCTCCCCTTCACCTCCCCTCACCCCTCTCCCCCACAAGACTTACCGTAAGCTCTCACCCCCTAATTAACTACACAAGACACTGGTACACCCCCCCACTACACCTGGAGTACACCCTTAGCACAATAGTAGTACACCTGTAGTACACCCATAGAAAAACACAGGTTGTAAGCCGTTGAATATTATCTATCTATCTATCTATCTATATCATTGTAAGTATGTAATAATAATAATAATAATAATAATAATAATAATAATAATAGATGTCATTATAGCCAGGTCGAGACTGTCTGGTCACTGACGGAAATTCACTCGAGAGTAACTGAGATCTCCAAACAGCCAATCACAGTAGACATTTATCACGAAGCTCAATTTAATTGGCTGTGTAATTCAATGCTAAATACTTTAAGGAATAGATCTACGGTAAATGGTCAAATCGACTAGCTAACGTCTGAACAGCCAATCACAATACGTCTTTATAACTTGAGAGTATTTCATTGGTTAGAGAATCGATTCTGTGAACCAAAAAGAAGAATCGAATACTTTAAATTACATTGTATAAGGTATTAAATTATAGGTTCAGTGTATTTATAAATAGTAAGTAGTTCTCATATACCCCTGACCACGACAAAAGTATAAATGCAATAATCTGTAGAGAGAATAATTATGGCGTCTATACTTGTCAACAAAACACGATCCTTGTTATTTTGTGACAGAATCATAACATCTATATTTAACGATAAAGATCGAGTTTCCTATATATCATGGCGTTTATTCCTCGCCACAACAATGAAGAATTTGAAACCTTTAAATTATATAGAAATAATAATAATTCAAATATAAACACAGTAATTCTTATTTAGCATCTCTCTAGCGGCGAAAAACTGAATTAAAACCCTTTAAATTATGTGAATATAGTAGAAATAACCCATTAACACCATAATTCCTCTTCGCACCGTCTTTTGTTTTATCTGGCGACGAAAAATGGATTCGAATCCTCTAAATTACGCGGGAATAACAAAAGCTAATCAGGGCATCGCTGGTATTCTTTCTTCATCTATAATTCTTTCGTCCCTCACCGTAAATACTTAGATTACTATCCTATGTTTCTGTTGGATATATGTGATTGGAGAGCTCTAGTTTATGTCCGTTGATCCTGAATAAGCATGATCCTAATCCGTTAATCCTAAACAGATAAACGGAACAAATCGTAACGTAGAACATTAATCATTGCCGGGTAGTATTTGGGTTCTGGCGTTTATACTTTAGATAGATAGATAGATAGATAGATAGATACTTAGATAGATAGATAGATGAGAGAGAAGTTTTCTTTGTAATGTGTCAGTGATATACATACCTCTAAATGCATCCTGTATACATATGTTGGTATACATATGTTGACCTCGCCTTAGGTTAGGTTATGGGTTATTGGGTTAGGTTTGGTCAGGTTAGGTTAGATTAGGTTAGGTTAACTTAAGTTAGGTTAGGTTTGGTTAGGTTAGGTTAGGTGTGTATTAATGTGGAATATATAGTTAAATATGTGTCAGTTGTTATGTTATGTGTTATTTCGTATATGTGTGCGGTGGGTGAGTGGTTAAGAGCTCACCTGCCGTCCCGTGGGTTACTGGTTCGATCCCTGACTAATGAATTGATGTTTTGTGAAAAGGGATTGTGATGACAAGATTATTTTCAATACGTACATAAAGGTGAGATTGACTGCTCCACACACACACACACACGCACACATACACACACACGCACACACACACACGGATCACCTTGTTATCCCTTCTCATTTTGGTAATTGAGTGAGGAGGGGAAGAGAAGGCAATAGGGAGGGAGATGTGAGGAGATAACGGGGGGGAGAGAGAGAGAGAGAGAGGAAGAAGGAGGGAGGTAGGGGTCACCTGAGGGAGGTAACCCCAGGTGCTGCCATTATCATTAACTATCTTGTGCCTGAGAGTGACGATGCTGGAGGAAAATGATGTGTGTGTGTGTGTGTCTGTGTGTGTGTGTGTGTGTGTGTGTGTGTGTGTGTGTGTGTGTGTGGTGATATATATTGTCTATTTTTCTTTTTATCTTGACATGACTGGTCAGAAAAATGAAGAATGACAGAGAGAGAGAGGGAGAGAGAGAGAGAGAGAGAGAGAGAGAGAGAGAGAGAGAGAGAGAGAGAGAGAGAGTAATGAGGTATAGTCAATCGAGTGAATGGAAAGGAAGACTGAGTGAGTAAGAGGAGGAGGAGGAGGAGGAGGAAGTCAGCACGTGTTTGGTTCCTCGTGGTGCCGCCCTGTAAACACTCCTTTATTGGTGTATTAAGAACCAATCAGCTGTGCGGTGTGTGGTAATCAGGGGGACGCACCTGTGCCGCTACACCTTATGGTTAATCATACCTTTTATCATACCTGGAGGATGATGATTATGTGTGTCATGTGTCAAGCGTCGTGTCGAGTGTCAAGTGCCGTGTGTCATGTGTCGTGTGTCATGTGTGTTCTAGTGGTGCTGTGTCGTGTCATGTGTCGTCTAATGGTGCTGTGTCGTGTCATGTGTCGTCTAGTGGTGCTGTGTCGTGTCATGTGTCGTCTAATGGTGCTGTGTCGTGTGTCATGTGTCGTCTAGTGGTGCTGTGTCGTGTCATGTGTCGTCTAATGGTGCTGTGTCGTGTCATGTGTCGTCTAGTGGTGCTGTGTCGTGTGTCATGTGTCGTCTAATGATGCTGTGTCGTGTCATGTGTCGTCTAATGGTGCTGTGTCGTGTCATGTGTCGTCTAATGGTGCTGTGTCGTCATGTGTCGTCTAATGATGCTGTGTCGTGTCATGTGTCGTCTAATGGTGCTGTGTCGTGTCATGTGTCGTCTAATGGTGCTGTGTCGTGTCATGTGTCCAATGATGCTGTGTCGTGTCATGTGTCGTCTAATGGTGCTGTGTCGTGTCATGTGTCGTCTAATGGTGCTGTGTCGTGTCATGTGTCGTCTAATGGTACTGTGTCGTGTCAGTGTCGTCTAATGGTGCTGTGTCGTCATGTGTCGTCTAATGGTGCTGTGTCAAGTGTCATGTGTCGTCTAATGGTGTTGTGTCGTGTCATGTGTCGTCTAATGGTACTGTGTCGTGTCATGTGTCGTCTAATGGTGCTGTGTCGTGTCATGTGTCGTCTAATGGTGCTGCGTCGTGTCATGTGTCGTCTAATGATGCTGTGTCGTGTCATGTGTCGTCTAATGGTGCTGTGTCGTGTCATGTGTCGTCTAATGGTGCTGTGTCGTGTCATGTGTCGTCTAATGGTGCTGTGTCGTGTCATGTCGTCTAATGGTGCTGTGTCGTGTCATGTGTCGTCTAATGGTGCTGTGTCAAGTGTCATGTGTCGTCTAATGGTGCTGTGTCGTGTCATGTGTCGTCTAATGGTACTGTGTCGTGTCATGTGTCGTCTAATGGTGCTGTGTCGTGTCATGTGTCGTCTAATGGTGCTGCGTCGTGTCATGTGTCGTCTAATGATGCTGTGTCGTGTCATGTGTCGTCTAATGGTGCTGTGTCGTCATGTGTCGTCTAATGGTGCTGTGTCGTCATGTGTCGTCTAATGGTGCTGTGTCGTGTCATGTGTCGTCTAATGGTGTGTCGTCATGTGTCGTCTAATGGTGCTGTGTCATGTCATGTGTCGTCTAATGGTGCTGTGTCGTGTCATGTGTCGTCTAATGGTACGTGTCGTGTCATGTGTCGTCTAATGGTGCTGTGTCGTGTCATGTGTCGTCTAATGATGCTGTGTCAAGTGTCATGTGTGGTCTAATGATGCTGTGTCGTGTGTCATGTGTCGTCTAATGGTGCTGTGTCGTGTGTCATGTGTCGTCTAATGGTGCTGTGTCGTGTCATGTGTCGTCTAATGGTGCTGTGTCGTGTGATATGTCGTCTAATGGTACTATGTCGTGTCATGTGTCGTCTAATGATGCTGTGTCGTGTCATGTGTCATCTAGTGGTGCTGTGTCGTGTGTTATATGTCGTCTAATGGTGCTGTGTCGTGTCATGTGTCGTCTAATGGTGCTGTGTCGTGTGTCGTGTCATGTATAGTCTAATGGTGCTGTGTCAAGTGTCATGTGTCGTCTAGTGGTGGTCTGTGTCATGTGTCATGTTTGTTCTAATGGTGTTCTGTGTCAAGTGTCGTGTGTCATGTGTCGTCTAGTGGTGCTGTGTCAAGTGTCATGTGTCGTCTAGTGGTGGTCTGTGTCATGTGTCATGTTTGTTCTAATGGTGTTCTGTGTCAAGTGTCGTGTGTCATGTGTCGTCTAGTGGTGCTGTGTCAAGTGTCATGTGTCGTCTAGTGGTGGTCTGTGTCATGTGTCATGTTTGTTCTAATGGTGCTGTGTCGTGTGTCATGTGTCGTCTAATGGTGCTGTGTCGTGTCATGTGTCGTCTTATGATGCTGTGTCGTGTGTTATGTGTCGTCTAATGATGCTGTGTCGTGTGTCATGTGTCGTCTAATGATGCTGTGTCGTGTCATGTGTCGTCTAATGGTGCTGTGTCGTGTGTCATGTGTCGTCTAATGGTGCTGTGTCGTGTGTCATGTGTCGTCTAATGGTTCTGTGTCGTGTGTCATGTGTCGTCTAATGATGCTGTGTCGTGTGTCATGTGTCGTCTAATGATGCTGTGTCATGTGTCATGTGTCGTCTAATGATGCTGTGTCAAGGGTCATGTGTCGTCTAATGGTGCTGTGTCGTGTCATGTGTCAATGGTGGTGTGTCATGTCATGTGTCGTCTAATGATGCTGTGTCGTGTGTCATGTGTCGTCTAATGGTGCTGTGTCGTGTCATGTGTCGTCTAATGGTGCTGTGTCGTGTGTCATGTGTCGTCTAATGGTGCTGTGTCGTGTCATGTGTCGTCTAATGGTGCTGTGTCGTGTCGCGTCTAATGGTGCTGTGTCGTGTGTCATGTGTCGTCTAATGATGCTGTGTCGTGTCATGTGTCGTCTAATGGTGCTGTGTCGTCGTCTAATGGTGCTGTGTCGTGTCATGTGTCGTCTAATGGTGCTGTGTCGTGTGTCATGTGTCGTCTAATGGTGCTGTGTCGTGATGCGTCTAATGATGCTGTGTCGTGTCATGTGTCGTCTAATGGTGCTGTGTCGTGTGTCATGTGTGGTCTAATGGTGCTGTGTCGGCGGTGATGTGTGGTCTGGCTGTGTCAAGTGTCGTCGTCTAATGGTGCTGTGTCAAGTGTCATGTGGTCTAATGGTGCTGTGTCAAGTGTCATGTGTCGTCTAATGGTGCTGTGTCAAGTGTGATGTGTGGTCTAATGGTGCTGTGTCAAGTGTCATGTGGTCTAATGGTGCTGTGTCAAGTGTCATATGTGGTCTAATGGTGCTGTGTCAAGTGTCATGTGTCGTCTAATGGTGCTGTGTCGTGTCGTGGTCTAATGGTGCTGTCTCGTGGATGTGTGGTCTATGGTGCGTCAAGTGTCATGTGTCGTCTAATGGTGCTGTGTCAAGTGATGTGTGGTCTAATGGTGCTGTGTCAAGTGTCATGTGTCGTCTAATGGTGCTGTGTCGTGTCATGTGTGGTCTAATGGTGCTGTGTCGTGTGTCATGTGTCGTCTAATGGTGTTGTGTCAAGTGTCATGTGTCGTCTAATGGTGCTGTGTCAAGTGTCATGTGTCGTCTAATGGTGCTGTGTCGTGTGTCATGTGTCGTCTAACTGTCAAGTGTCATGTGTCGTCTAATGGTGCTGTGTCGTGTGTCATGTGTCGTCTAATGGTGCTGTGTCAAGTGTCATGTGTCGTCTAATGGTGCTGTGTCGTGTCATGTGTCGTCTAATGGTGCTGTGTGTGTCATGTGTCGTCTAATGGTGCTGTGTCGTGTGTCATGTGTCGTCGTCTAATGGTGCTGTGTCGTGTGTCATGTGTCGTCTAATGGTGCTGTGTCAAGGTCATGTGTCGTCTAATGGTTCTGTGTTAAGTGTCATGTGTCGTCTAATGGTGCTGTGTCGTGTGTCATGTGTCGTCTAATGGTGCTGTGTCAAGTGTCATGTGTCGTCTAGTAATATTCTGTGTCAAGTGTCGTGTGCTATGTGGTCTAGTGGTGCTGTGTCAAGTGTCATGTGTCGTCTAATGGTGCTGTGTCAAGTGTCATGTGTCGTCTAATGGTGCTGTGTCAAGTGTCATGTGTCGTCTAGTAATATTCTGTGTCAAGTGTCGTGTGCTATGTGGTCTAGTGGTGGCCTTTGTCAAGTGTCGAGTGTATTGCTATCTGTCAAGTGTCATGTGTTGTATCTGTCAGGTTCAGGGAAATGTCGGGTGTTCGAACCCTAGTGAACCCCAACACACATCAGCTAGCAAGTTCTCACAGCGAGTACAAGATTAGTAAACATACACCACGTATTAAATATTACAGTCAAATCAAACTCTTTCGTTATAAGGCTAAACAACACCCGTCTTACACCAATTTTATTTTTAAATCTATTTTATATACAAAAAATAAATATATATTGTTACGACCGTGTCGTATTTTTTCTATTATTTTTATATAACCTTCCCTGTTCCATATTATTCCTGTAATGATGTGTTAAATTTACTATTATATATTCTAGTCACCTTACCCTGTGCTGTTAAGGTTTTAACTGTCATTATTTGTTCAAGCCCATCTTGTTTCTTTATTTAGTATTGTAACCAGCATTCTTTGTTCTCTAACGACCATCTGCATCGTTAAACGACCCACCGGCGGGTCGCGTGGCGGAGCCGACCTTATATAGGACCCACCAACTGACTTGGGTCAGTTCAGTCCTCTTGTCATACAGTCCACATCCTTTGAGTGTCACTTGTCACTTGTTACTTATACTTAATTTATTTGTGTTGTTCCTGTCGCCACCAATGTGGTATATCTATGTGAGTACCTATTTATGTCTCTGTTTGTGTCCATCAGTATTTGCTTAGTTACATTTGTAATTCCAGTGTTTCACGTTAGTTAATTTCAGTGTTAGTTTTTATATGTTTATGCAGTGTTAACGTAATCCAATGCTTTATTATTATTCTTTTGATGTTTCGATGTTGTATCATTTGTGTCTTAAAAGTTTCGATGGTGAATCAATTTGTTGTGACAGCCTACGAGGCTCTTTATTGTGTTAATATTTAATTAAATTCTTAAAGGTTTACTTTATTTATTTTTATTCCCTTTTAATTTACTTCACTTTTTTTGTTTGGTTACGCCTAGAACCTGGATATTTAAGTAAATTAAGAGACGGCGTAACAATATATATTGTTTAGATTATGTTGTTTTAATTAATTTTGTATATAGAGAGATTTATATATCATATCCCTTGATAAAACAACCAGGTTACTGAAGCGAGAACAGAGGAGGTAGCTAGTCTCATACAGACGAAAATATAAGGAAAAAGGAAGGTATTATCTTCCATTTCATCTAAAACGGATTAATTCTAAAATATTGTTAAAAGGAAATTACATAGATTTTTTTTCTTTCTCGGACACTAGAGTCAAAGAGAGAGAGAGAGAGAGAGAGAGAGAGAGAGAGCGCTGGGGCTTTGATCACGTCTGTCCTCGCGCTGTGAGATTCTAGATTAAGTTTATATAAAAGAAATTTATTATATTTGTCAGTGCTATTATCTTGATTTTGTGAGTCGTATATAAATATGTAAATATAGGAATTATATATTAATGTAGAGTCTAAATTAAGCTTGTATTCTAGAGATTTTTTCCATCTTTTAGTACTATTTTCTTGATATTGTCAACCGTATATACATATGTAAATAAAGATTAAAATAATGAATATAGATATTAAATTAATGTCTTATAGCTTATTCTGAGATAATACAGACTGTTTTAGTTGTTTAACAAAGCTTCAAAACTGTAATATATATATATATATATATATATATATATATATATATATATATATATATATATATATATATATATATATATATATATATATATATTATAATTGCTTAATAAATATTAATAACTCGTAAGAACCAATGTGGATCTAATATCGGGTTTCGTGTGATGTCACAATCAATCATCGGCCACGTTGATCTGTTGGCTTATATATACTCGTTATATTGACCCACCCTCTTATGATGTAATAATAATAGTTTGTCAGGTGTTCTGGGTCTACATAAACATAAAAAAATAACCATTGAATATACAGTACCTGTTCAAAGTAATTACAAGTGACTCAAGGTGTGGTGGTGATAGGACTGGGTTAGGTTAGGGGTTAGGTTAGGTTAGGTTAGGTCAGGTCAGGTTAGGAGGGCAGGATGGTTGTCCGCCGCTCGTTTGCTTGTTCGCGGCCCCACTATGGGGGGGTTATGGAGTTGAGAAGGTGTCTGCTGCCTCTTCAGACATCAGACACTAGCCAGCCAGCACCACAGCTGCACTTCCCCCGCTGTTCGATTCCAACTCTGGTCGTGTACTCATCTGAGGTTCCTGGGGCTCGTGGGCTCATTCCCCAGTCCTTGACTATTCGGCTGTCAACTCCGGTCACCTACTCCAGTTACTGCCGCGGCTGCCACGTGATCGCCATCTCCACGCCCTATCCACCGTCCGTGCCCTGACGTCTCTCCTGTGAGGCAAGACATCGCTCACCAACGCCGGCGCGCGAGGAAGCTGCCCTGGACCTTCCCCCTGAGAGCGGATCACTACGTTCCACCGTGCTGGCTGGTTAGGAGTATTCATCTGCAGCCGTAGGAAATACCTGTAC